ATGCCCCAGTGACGGACCCCCGGAGTGCCTGGGGGTGGGGGGGCACCCGCCCAGACAGAGCCAGCCCCTCAGAGCCTGCACCACACGCCCTGCAGAGCAGGAGAGCAAACTGTTTAAAATGCATAGAAAACACCGAGCTGTTTCACCGTCACTTAAATTTATTACCAAGTAATCCAAGTTCATTCTACAAAGATTAAAAAACAGATATACAAACGCGGAGGTCCCTCCACTCAGACAGGGCAGCCTGCGCGGGGTGAGCCAGAAGCTCCCAGCAAAGCCCTCCAACCTGCACTCCTGCTCTCAGCCCCGGCCCGTGCCCGTCTGGGCAGCAGGGCTCTTCTGGGGTGCGGTCCCCACACATCTGTGGCTTCTCCAGCCACACTCCGGGGCGGGGCCCGAGGTTCACCAGCAGGGACAGCAGAGCCGGCTCACACCTCACATCCCCGTCCTCCGCTCTGGCACGGCCGCCACGTGGCCACAGAGAAGGTCCTGGGGTGCGGGGGGAAGGCAGGGGCCCTGACAGAGGGCGTCACCAGGAGGTGGTCCAGCCACGCCCTGGAGTCCCTGGAGGACCAGGAAGCCAAGATTCTCTCTTAAAATAATATATAATAAATGTGCAGTCGCTGTCGACAAACAGACAAAACAGAAAAGCGTGAAGGAGGCAGGCCACGGGGCCGCACCGACGCCTGGGCGGCCCGCTTCCAGCCCCACACACATCCTGCCGTTTTCCCAGCGCTTGTTTCATTGCAAAACAGGCTGTCACAATGCTGCTGTGCAAACTGCTCCCCTCCCCCACTCACGGGGCCCAGCTGCGCCGAGGACCACAGCCACTGTCACGAGGGGCCTGGTGGCGCAGGGCGGGTGGTGCAATCGGCCCTCTGTGCGTCCTCGGAGCTCACGCACGCCCCAGGGCTGGGTCAGGGCTGGCTGCCGTCCAGCTGCATCTGCTGGGCCAGCTGCCGCCCGATGGCCAGCAGGGGGCTGGCTCTGTAGGCCGGACTGGCCAGCAGCTCCTGAAACCGCGTCCTTTCTTCCTCTCTGAAAGGATGGAGATCAGAGGTCAGCAAACCCACACCCCTCAGAGGGGGCCGGGAAGAGCATTCAGCGCCCCCGGGACCGGCCCCCACTTGGCCACGCCACAGGGACCCCAGCAAAGGGCTGGTCCTGGGCCAGGGCAAGGCTGGGGGTGAGGAAGGCAGCGGGGCTGTGAAATTCTGCCAGCAGAGCCTCGGGTGGGGCAGGCCAAGGGGGGTCTGGGGGCTTCAGGCTTCAGGGCTTTGGGCTGGAGGGGACTGGCTGCCCTGCAGGCTCGTCACAGTCACACAGGCCCCATCCCGTCCCTGAACGGACACGGAGCTGCCACGAACGGCAGCAGCCGGCAGGCGCCCGCACACACGAGACCTTACATAAGACGTGCCTCCCTCCAGTGCAGCCAGAACAGACGCGGCCACGGCAGGAGCAGGAACCAGGGGCGTGAGCCCGGCACCACGCGACCAGCCCTGCTCCCCAGGGCGCTGCGGTGATGAGCAACAGGCGGGCTTCAGTGGGCCCATCTCCTGCAGGAGGTCCCAAGCCCCCAGAGTCCACGGCAGTGCCAACACTCTGCGCCCATCCCGACCCCGGCCGGCCCCCACCTGGAGCAGGCGTGGTCATGCCACCTTTCAGAAGCGCTGGGGCCAGCTCACGTCCAGTAGGCCCCACGGCCCAGCATGGCCACAGGTGGCCTCGCCAGAGGCCCCTGGGGAACACCACCTCTACCACTGAAACTCAGACAACCTGGTCAGAAACCCACGCGGGCCTGTCGTGGTGGGGACAGCCCTGGCCAGGGCTGGCAAGGTGGGGTGGGGGGCCGGGCCTGGGCTCTGCCTGTGCAGGTGTGTGACCAAGGACAAGGCCAAATCACACTGGGCTCCAGAGTTCTTGGCTATAATGGGGAGGTTTTGGACCCCACTTGATGACCGACTGCCCAAGCCACGTGTCTACACCCCCAAGATGCCCAGGACAGCAGGGTCCCCAAGTGCCCATACCAGCCCCCAGCAAAGACCTGGGCCTCCGACAGCCAGGAGCAGCTGCTCCCCTCACCACAACCACAAGACTGTGCCCAGAGCCGGCCCCACGTGGACTGGGGCTGGGGTAAGCGGCCAGAGGCCTGACCGTCCGGGGCAGGGATGTGCGGGGGCAGCGGCAGCACCATACTCACAGGAGCTGCAGCCTCTGTGCTGCGTTCATCCGGCTCAACTCGGCTGGCCGAGGCCTGCTGGCAGCCCTGCTGTGGACAGAGAGGTGAGTTGGCACAGCACGCGCTTCACCTGGAACCTCCCGCCAGCGCGCTAGACTCGGGGCCACGGGGCCACACCAGGCCCTCTACCCCGTGAGTGACTCTGGGAGCGTGTGCGGACGCGCAGAGACACGGGCGCCACGTGGCAGGAAAGGGACCCAGCTGGGGCGGCAGAAAGCATCTGAGTCCTGGGACGGCACCTAAACCTAGCCTCCAGACCAGGAGCCCTCATCTCTTACTCATGCTTCTCTGTAAATTATGAACGAAAGACGTGCCCTGCCCACCCCAGCCCCACCCTGGCTGCTCTGGGGTGCTCCCATCCTGCTCCAGGCCCCCAGTACGGGACCCCCTCCAGGCTCAGCCTCGGGCCAGGACACTGCGGCCCTGCTCCTCCCACCGCTGACCCCTCTCCCTGTGGCCACCAGGGAGCAGGTCCCCCACCGACCACCCAGAGTTCTGAGGAGCCCCACCCTAGCTGAATTGGGCTCAGGACCCCCTCCTTCCAGCCAGCACCCCCAGGAGGCAGCCGTGTGCTGCGAGGCCTGGGTCCAGCACAGCCTTCCAGTGGGAGGAGCGGGAACCTTGGATCCCCACCCCCGTGAAAGGCCCCCAGGACCCCTTCCTGCTCCGACAGGGGAGCCCACCGCCCCCCAGTGCGAGCACACCCAGGGGTCCCCTTGGGGCCGAGGGGCAGGTGGGGCACAGTGGGAGGCAAGGCAGGGCAGGACCCTCACCCAAGCCTCAGGGCACGTCCAGGGCCTGGTAGGCAGCTCAGAGGGAGGCACAACTACCCCCTCCAGAGGAATCTTCCAGGAGTTACCTGGCACTGTGGACAAAGACAGGTGGGGTGGTTCCCCAAGGCCACCAGGGGAACAGAACTGACCCCCCAGCACCCAAACCAGCAGCCCGGGGGCAGGGGCTTGCACCCCTGATGTCCTGCCGCCAGCTCTGAAGCCCCCCCAGGGAGCCCCAGCTCATTCACAGCGTCCAGGCCTGGCTCTGGCCACGGGGCCGATGGGGTGGACAGCGGATAGAGACCTGCCTGAGGGACTGATGTGCACACAGCCACTGCCAAGCGCCCACACTGGTCCTCGGGCTGCAAGAGGGCCCCAGCCCCACCAGTACCAGGGCGGCAGCTCCAGATGCTGGCTGACCCGGGAGGAACCCCGAAGCCTTAGTTTCCCCGAATGTAAAGCAGGCCAGTGCTTTCCTGCCAGGCTTCTGCCAGCCACACCGAGCGCCCAGGTGTGCCCAGCTCTGGGGGTGACTGGGCCCATATGGCTCACCCACCCCTAGGGGGACGGGGGGCCCCGAAACCAAGCAGCACTGGCGGGCAAACCCTGCTGCCGTTAAGACCTGCACCCCCGTGTCAGGCTCTCTGCCCTCAGCCGCTACCTTCAGCCAGAGGAGCAACTTCCCAGAGAAGCTGGTCCCTTGCTGATAAGCACGGCCCTGGGCAGCGGCTCTGGTCCCGGGAGCGCCGGGCGGTTCTCGGGCCGGCCTCAGCGCTGCGCAGCGCCCACCTGGTGGAGCCTGGGGACACCCCGGGCCCACCTGCGGCCTGGGGCTCTCACCCGCCACCCTGCAAGGCCACCCACAGACGGGGGTGGGCTCGGGGAGGCCCAGGGCCTCAGTCAGGGTGTCCCAGATGGTGACAGGGGACCCAGGCCTTGCCCTCAGGATCTGGGTGCCACCACACATCCTGCCCAACTCTGACTTTTAGTACAAGCCTGGGGGGCAGTGGTAAGAGAAACACCTGCCAGCTGTGACCTGCTGCTTTCCAGGGCACCCCCGGCATGAGCTCCAGGGAATCCTGGCCCATGAGGGAAGGCAGCAAACCCGCAGGGCCTGGGCCTGTGCTAGGAGCTGAAAGACTTGAGAGCGATGACTAGGGACCTCAACTCTGTGAAATGCGGCTCCCAGCCGTCTCAAGAATCGAGTGAAGGGGCCAAAGATAAAGTTTGCCAGCCATGCCCATGTGTCCACGAGGGACTGAGCTGGGTGGGCGTCCCCTTCCAGCACAGTCCCTCACCTTGCTGCAGGCTGGTGCTGGGCAAGACCACCGTCTGGCCTCCATGGGGAGGGAAAGCTGGAAGCTCCACGTCTGGAACTCTCCTGCGGTCCCCACCCCTGGTCTCCCCTCTTGGCCAACTTCAGCCTGTCTCCTCTCCCCATAACAGACGACAGCCGTGCGCAAACCAGCTTGTGAGAGTCACCAAAGCTAGTAGCAGCCTGGGGGCCCCAACCTGCAGCCGGCGGTAGACATGAGGGTGGTCCCCAACTTCACAAGAACACATCGGGTCAAGAGACACACACGTATGTCCCTGCTGTCAGCTGAGAGGGCCCAGAAACGACTCCCCAGTGGCAGTCACCACGCCAACACCCAGGTCCTGGTTCCTGACACCAAGTCCAGTGGAAAGACCCAGCTTCCCGGAGAGACGCCACTTCGGGGACAGGAGCGAGAAATGCCCAAAACGAGCCTGGAGCACCCGGTGCCGAGAGGCAGGCCGTGCTCAGCAACAAACCACACAGCCCCACGGGGGAGTCAGAGGGACTGGGGCGACCAAGGGAGCTCACAGTGGTCAGAGCTGGAGCGGGTGCAGTGACAAAACTTAGTCGGGTTGGATCATGGCCCAGAGTATAAAGGAAA